TCTTCAACTGGATGCAATCTCTCACATCTCGTTGCCACCAAACTCTTAAATATATGAATTGGAAAATTTTCTCCGGCCGACAGGTTCTAATATTATGAAATACTTTTGAAGTTCAAAAGCACGGAGCTAAGATCCAAAATTTCATCTCTCTGGAATTTCTGAATTCCGCCACCAAATGGTGTATCTTATTTGAATGTCTCTGGTTATTCTTGGTCTTCTGCGTTTCATTTGCAGACGAGGACGAGAGTTCATAACTCATTATCGCATATTATCATTTCTTTTACCTCTGTGGCGACTTGGGTAAATGCGGTAGCCCACGTCAATATTTGTACAACTATTTGTCTCCCATCGATAAGGATAAGAATGAGAAATGATTATGCATGGACACCTGTATTCGACAAAAACGAAAGTAAAGATAGAAAAAAGAAACAAAGCAAAGCATGACAAAATACAGAAATCTCCCTTTTTGAACCTACTCTATTCATCTGCACGAGTTAATTATTGTGTTCGCTTTGGAAAGCAGAATGACATACGTCACCCTGTTAGAAAGGAGGACATGAAGAGAGCACCTCAACCCTAAGCTTTAGCTTCTGGATTTTTTACATTTGAGGAAACCACGTTGATGCTATGACTTATTGACTGAGTGGGAGGGCCAGGCGGGAAGATATTTGGCTCGATGCCAGCCAGGTCTATGCTTCATGACCAAGAGTCAAATTTTTTCCCTTTCGTTCCGACCAAACTTAGGCAATGAGATCTATTTTTGCATTGTTTAAGGGATAATTGGAGGAGTTTGTGACTTCGAATTTAACCACGATTTTAACCGACGCGAGAGAGAAAGATAATATACATTGGCAGACTCTAAATCATCTGTCTTACATGCACTTACGTCCCATAGCTGCATGTTGAGTGAAATTTTTCTGGGCCACTTGGTATCTAAATTGAATTTCAAAAAGGATATGCGTAATTACTTAAGGTATTCTATGGGAAAATTCATTACCTGACGAGGGAATTCCGCGTTAAATTGCACGCGAAAACCGAATCGCGGAGCGATGAGTGCGATATCGGTTTTCAAGTAAAATTTAACGCGGAATTCACGGGTCAGGTAATGGATTTTCCTTGAATTGCATAATTTAATAAAAATAAGGAAAAAAAAAGGAATTATACTTAAGAATTTGTTCATGCTTAGCGTGCGTATATCGAGTTATGGATGCATGCGGGAAGTTTGGAGAGCACGAAAAATGCGTAAGAGCAACTTTATCTTTTTGAGACTTTTAGAGAGCAAAATTCTCACAACGCACAATAAAAAATTTTACAAAAATTTACACCTTTTACCTCTTTGGTGGCAAAACCGAAAAGAATGAAGTGTCCAAGTGAAAGCACTGAAAGTTTAACATCGCGATTAAAGGTATTTATTTTTTCTTCTGTATATCTGACAATCAACCCTGGCACTTCCTCCGTTGAAGCTTCTAGGTCTTGTTTGGTTGAACTTTCGCTTGCTATTTTATGGGTCGTTTATAAAGGATTTCAAGCTTTCTTGTTATCGCAAGCGAAAGAGGTTTTATATGCCTCTCCAAGAACTTGCAGTTCATTTCAAATCAGAGAAGAACCTCTAGCTCACTTTGAAAAACGCTTTTGTTTGCTTTTGGCTCTTCAAAAGGAGACAATGGTTTTGAAAACACTTTAAAAATGACATTGTAGAAAGCTTTGTTACAATTTGACGATAGTTGCTATGTTTACGTGGACGCGAAACAATATCATTTAGCCTCGTTTTCAACTTGCAATTCCACGCTAAATACTTCGCTTCGTTGACCAATCAGAATGCCAGATACTATTCAATTATGCGATTTAACAAGAAACAGCAATTGAACTCAAACATGTAGTGGGCAATACCTGGTAAAAAAGTAAAGTGACATTCCTTGTTAAAACATCGACTCTAAAAAAAAAATCGACTCCTGAAAAAAAAAATTAATGCCAAGGTTAAAGGTGAGAAATCATACGCAATGGAATCTGAGTAAACCAAATACTTCCAAGTTCTCTATGAGCATACTTACTTTTAAGCGCCTTCCTTTAAATTTGCAGCAGAAACAATAATAGAAGGCTGAGTGGATACACAATGTAGAAAGCAAAACCCTAATTGAGACGTTCTCGGATTTATCTTCAAAATGCATCATTTCGTGTATATCTTCGTCTCCTGACTTTTGCGCTGTGATGTCGCTGTTCTTTTCGACAAAGGGAACACGCAATGTGAGTTTAAAACAGTGTACTTCAGCGCCTTGAAGGTGATCGTTGCTCTTGGAGCTAATGGTCACTACCAAAGTTCAACCGCTACCTGATGAAAATAGACATTGCAATCATTTTAATTGCATGACTAAGGCCTAGTTCAAACGTCGATCTTTACATGTACCGAACCTAATTGCAATTTGGGTCGACTCGAATAATTAAGAACGGCAGTTGATTCAAACGTCGATCCGAATTTAGTCGATCCTAATTGCAAAACTGAACATAACTCTATTGTAGTCAGCGGTTAATGCCTACCAATGGGTATACAGGTATATTTTGTGGATTTAAAACAAGAGGAGCACGAGCCTTCCTCCTTTCCCGCCATATTGTTTGAATGGTTCGCGCATGGCACGTAAGCGAAATTTCTTGAATTGTGGGTAAAACATAATTATTTTAACGTATGTATAATGTATGCATTAAGTTCGGTACATGTAAAGTACGACGTATGAATCAATGTCGATCTTTTACCGTTCTATCCGACTAGCCGAGTCGGATAGAACGGCACTGTCGATCCGAATACAAATCTGCCGATCCTAATTGATTCAAACGTCGATCTTTACATGTACTTAATAGAAACGTTAGGTTCGGTACATGTAAAGATCGACTTTTAAACTAGGCCTAAGCATCTCGTTAAATTAGTCAGGGACTGAGTGTAAAAGAAAAAAGTAAGAACACTTAAAATTAATATATGAATAAACATGAAAAACTAAGAAAATAACATCAGCAACAAAAACAACAACAACCACGTCCACAACAATGATTCTGCGTGCTCAGGGAGTTCCAAACCCTAACTCTTAATTGGGTGAACATTTGTCTTCACTTAGTTTAATTTTTGCCGGTTTTTTAACCAGTAATCTCCTGTATTCTAGATCAGAACAGGTTTAGAAGTTTAGATTCGAGCTACAAGATCCAACGCAATGTATCATAGTCACTACTCTTGGGTAATTTTTGAGTCTTTTTAGCGTGGTAGGTAGGAAAAGATTCTCCTTTTTCAATTAATGTTGTTGGATTGAATTGGTGAACTTGATTGAATAAGATGACTACCGCTGAAAACTCAGCAACAAAGAATAAATAAACATTGGTGTTCCAATAGATTCTAAGGCTTAAGCGAGCTGTAATACAAAAATATAAAAGTCTTGACTGAAAGGAATTATTTGACTTGGGGCTTACCGTAGTTCATCATATCACAATAAAATTGAACTTCTCTGCTCCCAATCGTTATCCAATAATATCCACTTTACGCTTGAGGCCACTCTTGCTGTATTGCTGCACATAACTTAAAAGAATAAAATCTTTTGCTAGGCTCTCAATTTGAAAAAAAGAAAAGTCTACACTTAAGAAAGAACTACTTCAATTGGTATTACAAAGTAAAATAAATAAACTTTCCCTCACAAATCATTGAAAATTGTGCCCGATATGGAAGCTGTAACTCTTATTTTTTTAATTTTACCTTTTTTTTCAAGCAACGCAACCAACAATTTGATCAATTAAGGATATTAACCTTTACTTCGGATTCTAATTAAGTACCTTTCATTGTCTCAAAATTTTGTTCTGTATTAGGTTTTTGTTTCATTTGGGTTTGGTTTGGAGTAACCTGCTGGCAGAAAAACTTTAGCCGGAAGAGTCATCACAACAAGCTGCTTTTTCAGGAAATAAATGAAAAATCAAAATAATCAACGAAATTTGGTTTCTTCCAAGGATCATAAGCTAAAGCTAAAGTTCTTCGTTAGAGCCTCAGGTTCTTACGTGGCTTTATGTGCAGTTACATGGAGCACACAATTGCAACACTGACTCGATCTTGTCGATTTATCGTGCGATCCCGAAAGGCATCCAATAAAACCCTCTCGGCATGCATTAATCGTCAAAAAACTAAACTTTCTGTACGAGGCGCGGAGCTTCATGCCCCAGGAGGACCTTTGAATTGTACAATGTGGGCATTGGAAGAGGAAGTTTGTATTTGGATTGCATCTGTTGTGGGTGACCTATATCACAAGGAGTACACAAATGTAAGAGAAATAATAATACGCTTCGAAAAAGGTTGGAGGGGAATTTTATTTAGTTTCATTACTACTTTCACTGTGTTTACAGACAGTTTCCTTGTTAAATGAAGTTGACCCTCTCAAGTAGTATTACATTACGCATCCTCACTATGCATACCTGTTTCAAACCAAACTAGCGCGCGCACATGTACACAAACAATAGTAACTTTTTTCTTTATGGTCGTAGATCACCTAATATTTATATCATAATTTTCTCCCAAACGAGGACACTGACCTATCACTTATTTTTTCTTTCTGGGATTTCAGCAAACCTTTTCTTAGAGTACGAAAAGGAAAAATTTTCGGTTACCCGAATTTAGCAAATATACTCAAATGTAATTGTCATGATGTCATAGGAATCATGGGTATCTATCTGCGCCTAAAGAAGATAGGGACCCCTAAGTAAATCTTTCAAAATTTACGTGTCTATAAGATAATCACCTGATTAGGTAAAGTATGGCTAAAATCTTGGTGCAGGTTTTATATGATAGCAAAGACCTTGAAAGTCTAATCATTTTCTTTTTAAGCTTATGACTGAAGCTAAATAAATTTTAAAATGACACCATATTTGGAAGAAAAAGGAAAAAATCTCTTTCGTTTTTAGGGATAGCGGTGCGTCATCACAGGACTTTAGTGACGTTGAAACAAAACAAAACACATTCCATCGAATCTCTCCCAGGATTACTTTACAAACAACATCCCACACTTGTTTTCGAAGATTCCACCATGGCTGCACGGTGCATAACCATACAATGCTCGTGTGTGAGGGTCTGTTGAATGAATCAGATAAAAAATTTGGAATGATTTGATTGGAATTTGGTTGGAAAGTCTAATTCATGGTTATACCATCAGAGCTAATTCCGGTTTTTGCTGAAGGAATTAAAAAGTATTTTTAAAAGTGCTTGCTTATCTTGATACAAGCAATCAACGCAAGTGAAAAAAATATGTATGCGAATCTGAGCAATTATAGCAAAACGAGTATTCGCCTTAGGCTGGACTACATCTCGGTGAGTATTTGAAAAATATTCACTTCGCCTTCGGTGAATAATTGTTCAGTATAATTATTAATTTTTGATAAAAGAGATAATAGTCAACTGCCATCCATTCTTACATTGAGATGAAAACCATAAAGAGCCACACTCGCCATCGTCATGTCCATCGAACACTGAGAAAACAATTTGAAAAAAACGAAAGAGATAATAATTAAAATGGGGATAATAATCATTAATAATGATGACAGCGATAACGATGATAGCAGTGACGATAAAAAAAGGATATGTAGATTTCTAGTTTAAAAGGGCTGTTTAGGTCCGTGATGTTTCATGTTGGTGCTATCTAGATAAGAAAACGTCGAACTTTCCCTTGAGGTATTGTAATCTTCAATCCATTCATTAACTGACCTATAGCTCTAACTCTGAGTAAAAATCTCCGCAAATGTTACATTACGAAGTGAAAATTTATCTTCGCGCAAGAGGTTTATATGTTATCTATCCTGAAGGAAGCGTATTCTAGAAAAAAAAGTGTCCGCGGTTACTCAGAGTCACAGAGCGCGGTTCTCCTGACGCATGTATACCTAGGCCAGCAAAGACATCTTTATCTTATCTTCATTGGGCAATAAGTCTGTCAACACAACCGTCCATGCGTAAGGCCGCTAAAATTATTTTCCGCCTGGATTGGTGTTCACCAACTGAAGTCTTTTAAACACTGATAAAAGGAAACTACCAGTCTATCCAGTACGTCAGCACTGTACTCTGGAACAGGCTTGGCAGGGAGCTGAGAATGAACACTGAGCTCATTGAACAATTATTCCAAACGTTTAATTAAGAAACTACCATCTGAATTTACATATGTAATTTATTAGTATTAATTTAGGTAGAATCTTCGTCATATGTTTGTTGTTTCAATCACGAGTGTAATTTCATTTTAGACTTGACTTATCACGAGCATATCAGCTATGCTGTAACTTTATTTTGTTTAAATAAATTTGTTATTATACTTATGATTATTATTATTAATATACAGTCACTGGAGAAATTATAATGATTGACAGCTAAGTGTTAGGCGTTGCCATAAGAGACACAGCTTCACGCTCACTTTAAGTGCCGGCCTGCAAACATGTCAATCATCATGAATTAAAGAAAATATCCTTCTAATTTTCCAAACATCAACTTCCTTGCCCCAAAAGATCGTGAACTGTAAAATACACAGTGTTAAAGTGCCAAAATTAGCCAGACAAAAAATAAAATAAAGTAACCTGCGATTCCTCTCGGATCAATTCACTCGCTGAACGAGAAAAAAACCTGGTCACCTTAATTCTTTTTTTTTTTAAAAGAGATAACACCGAGAATACAGAAAAGGGTAGACATCACTCTATTTCTGTTTTTACCTCTGTGACAACTGCCGGCAATTCTATACCCAGTCGTCTGGTTTGTACAAGTGTTAGTCTCCCAACGATACGGAAAAGAATGTGATATGATTATGCGTGGACACCTGAAAAAAAAACAATATTAATGGTACTAATAGTAACAATGATGAGTAACAATGATAATGATGATACGTTAAGCCCCCCTGCAATTTCTTCGGTTCTAGCGATGCCCTCTCGATCAAAGGCATGGTTTTGACGCTCAACCGACCTCCAGCCATGGAGTGTTGGCCCGGTGGCTGTCTTGTGTAAGGTTACAAGCCCAAATATCAATCCTGCAGTGCAGGCTTTCAACTACGATGAATAACACAAGCCCCATTCAGCCTAAAAGAAAAGATGCCAGTTGGCTGAGAAGTTTCAAAAACCTACCCTCTCTACCCCTGAACTTTCCATCCAAAGCCATTTTCAACCAAAGCAAAGTTGAAACGCGGGTGCAAATTACATATAGCGCGCGCACTCTTTAAAAATTGCGTCCGTCTTGATTTTCTGCGATATTTTTTCATGTGCATTATCAACAAGTAATAACATGATTTCGAGTGCAATTTGTTGTAATAAGCACCCACGGCTTTGTGCTGTTTTGTTGTCTTTGAAAAATTTACTCGTATTTATTTACACCAGATTGCACTCGAAATTATGTTACTTATACTTATCCAAAAGTACTAATTTCATCAGTGTTAAGTTTTTTTTCGCTTTGTATCATTATCGTTATCATCATTCCTGTCCTTATTGTAATTGTAAACGTATTCGTCGTCCTTACTCTTTTCGATACAATTATCGTTATCGCCGTGGTTGTTGTCGTTTTCTTCGTCATTGTCATCATTATCAGTGTAACACCATTGATTTTGTTATCGTTTTTCTTGTTCTTATTTTTATATTGTCAAGGGGTTAGAATTACCGCTTTAAAAATGAGGAACCTTTTTTTATGCAGAGCTCAATTCCTTGGTCGTGCAAGTTTGTCAACCCCCCCAGGTTAACGATTACGGTGTGACCCGAAGGATTAAGGGGATGCCTATGTCGCCAATTAAAGCAAGAGTCGAAATGGAAATCAGTCATTGCATATGATTACGATAAAACTTACTTTCCATGACTGCACGTTGATTTAAAGTTTGTAGGACCACTTGGAATCTAAAATTAAATATAAAGAAACCGTAACAATCATGTTTGATCTTTCAAGAGAGAGTTATTTAACTTGAACATGAATTCAATTGTACCTGATAGAATATGGTATAATTGACCGGTTTTTCCAAAACATCAACTCTAAAGGTTCCTGAATGAAAATAAATATCAAAGTTGCAGTAAAAGTTATATTTTGTCTTTGTCATACATGCATATTCTTCCAGAACATCAACTCTAAAGGTTTCTAAATAAAAATAAATATAAAAGTTGCAGTAAAAATTATATTTTGTCTTCGTGATACATACATGGACGCACGTAGATATGGAATTTCTCCTCGGGTGTTGAATTCAGTAGCTTTAAGGTTAGCGCAGCGAACGAGTGAGTTGTCGAGTTCAAGACGAGAAGATAAAATTTTCTATCTACAAGCAACCATGTATTATTTTATTGATCACATAAACACAATAGCCCTTTTCTGACATGCAAAGTCGGCCTAATAAACGAATGAAAATAAAAGGATCGACAATTCCCGAATAAACATCGTAAAGTATGTTGGCGTCCTCAAGATGAAAACATGCGTTGAATCACTACAAAAACAAATAATGGGCCTAATTTTCAATATAAAAAAATTCTCAGTTATTGAATTAGGCCCTACCGGCAAAGAAAATCTCTCAAGCAAACGGCCAAAACCGGCTGTGCCAAATCTTCTTTCTTAGCTGCGAGAAATACCTGCACTAGAACCACTGATTACATAACTTTCGATTTTTCTTTTTTTATTTTGGTTTCTTCTCCTTAGGGCTGGAATTCCTTGTGTAAAACCGTAGTTTGTATAATAAATCTAAGTAACTCATGGGAAAAACAGCGCATGTCAGTACTTTTCTGAACTTAATTTATTAACAGGCTCACTTATAGCCCGAGCAAAGATCCAAGGTACTGTGGTACGTGTTTTTTTAATGCGGCGTGCCGGCGAAACGTGAAATTTTGATACATATTTTAAATATTTTCCTTAACCTTGTAACATTTTATAGCTTAACCTTCAAAATGTAGCAGCTCGTGTATGTCTTTGTCCGTTAGCTTTCGGGCTGCGATGTCGTTCTCAGTAAACGGAACACACAGCTTTGAGTTGAGACAATTCATTTCAGCGCTCTGAAGATGATCGTTTTTCGCGGAGTTGATGGTCACTGCCAAAGTCCAACCGCCACCTATTTCATGCATTTTAGAAATGGATAACAATTTCACGAAAAGCATAGTCGGTAGAGAAAACTGGCTAAGCTAAGAAAACCGGGCTTGCAAAACATTATAATCGAAAATCTTAATGGCAAACTGCCTGATAAAAAACACCTAAATTATTCATTTAGTCATTGTGTGCAAGATCTTCCTTACGTACAAAGGAGGAAATTGAGTGTACCGTTAGATTCCAGCTTAAAGCTGCAACACGTTAGATCTTGCCTGGGTTATTATCTAACGAACTGGCAAAGGAGGTGAGTCGAAAGTTTGAAACATTCTCTTTTTACTTCGATTGAACAGATTAATTTGTTTCAAATTGGTTAAATTTCTTCAACTAATCTGCACAAAGTGATCAAACCTGAAGGTAACTCAGGAAATAAAAAACAACGATCGAATAAGATAATTTGACTCTTTTTGAAACTTTTCCAATGTTCATTTTTTTTCTAACTTACCATAGTTCGTCATATCACAATAAACCTGAGCTTCTCTGCTCCCAATCTGTATCCAGTAATATCCATTCTTTGCCTGAGGCTGCGCCTGTTGTATTTCTGCACAGGACTTCAACCGAACAAGACAAATGGTAGAATATAAGCCTGGTTCTCGAATGGAACAAAATAACGATAAATTTCTGGTTTGTTCGCTTATATAACGTGGAAATAAAATTTATCATCATTCGTAGTAAGCCATTCTGAATCTCGCGTTTTAATACTGGAAATATATTGAAATAACAGACCTTAAATGAAGGAAACATTTCCATGTAGATGCATCCTATTTTCGGTCGAAAATCTTTTGAGAGGGTACGTCTGTCTGCGTCATTCAAGTCACATAACCCATCGATGGAATGGAAGTTCAAACTTTTACAGTGGACATCAGTTACACATATTATCACACACTCAGAAAGACTGGAGACAATCCTTGTGGACATCACGTGACCAGCTAAGTAGTGGCTGTTTATTGAGTAAGTCGAAGGTCGACATTTTCCGACAACGTTGTGAAGCTGTGAGGACCATATAATCACCAGAATCGAAAAATAGAGCTGCATCACTTTATCAAATTTCCTAGAAATGGATCATATGGCCGAATAAGTTTTTATAAAACCTGAGATGTTTTCCCAAGAGATGTCAACTAAGAAACTTGAACATATCCGGACCAAATTTTTTCTAGATGGCGTCATATGCATCTGTCATGATATTATACTAGGCTCTACATTTTGCAATTAAGAATGAATAAATCAGTAGATGCTTATTCAATAATTCCTCTATAGTTTTATCTGTTTCCACGTTATTTTTCTAACTTATCGAAGTTTAATCCACGCATATCCAATAGGACCTCCATAATTCGGCCCCCTGAAGTCGTAGAGTAAAACAACTCTAAGATTTTTCCTTCTTTCCTAATCTGAGTAATGGTTAAAAGTGGACGTTGGTTAAATTAAGATATGGAAATCAATTTTCTACTAAAGCTTTAAGCTTGGATAGTTGAACATTTATCACCATGACGATATGAAGTGATTTCATGAACTCGGGCAAAAAGATTGTCTCGAATTAAGGAGAAGCATATATACTAGTTCTAAACTTGACATCAAATTACAAACCTTCTGGCATTAAAAAGCACCTCATCTAGTCTTTCTTTTCGATGAAGTTGGAAAATATCTGTTATATCCTAGAGATAGACCAGGCTGTTTCCGATTTTCCATTCGCGAGGCAAGGCCCGAGCATCGATATTTCTTCGAAGTATATTGCCATAATCAATAATGTAAAAGCTTTTATTCAGATTTAAATGAGCTTGATTATTTGTATTGAAATCTTGAAAGGCAGCACTTCTTTTTGTTGCGTTTCAAATCTCTCGCGAAGCAAGGCGCGAGCATCTGGTTATTAAATAGAGAATAAATGTGAAATTTCTCTTCGAATGGTCAACTCGATAGCTCACAAGTGAGAAAGCGAACAAGTGAGATGTGGAGTTGAACGTGAGAAGAGAAATCTCACATCTAAAAGCAACATGTATTATTCAGTTTATTATATAAACGCAACAGCCCTTCAATAACAAGAAAAGTCTAATTTATTCACGAATAAAAATAAAAGCCATTACCAAAGCCACTTTTTTTTGGTTTTCTTCTCCTTCTAGGAAAGTTTGAACGTTACTCTCTGAACGTTACTGTCTGTAAGCGAAACGGATTTTTCAGCCTTTTAGCAACCGTAATCTGACAAAATTCCGACAAGCAACCATGGGTCGAGAATGTTGAAGGCTTTTCCGTTCATTCATCAACCTGACCGAGTGGCAATTTCATAACGGTTTTAAAATAAATATATATCTAAATTTTTTTCCTCAGGATGATAATGTTGCGCTAATTAAACAGAATTGATTCGACTGAACATCAGAGATATGTTAACTAAACTGAACTCTGAATATGAGAGATGCAAATGAAAGAGTTGAAATATGGCCAAAGGCATAGAGTTCATAAAATCCTATAATAGCGGAGCTCGCAGTGCGTAGCCCCATGATTATACAAAATAGTGGTAACCCAACAAGCCGAAAAATTCCACATGCGTAGTCAATTGTACCGCGGGCACGCCAACGCCACGGCTTTGTTCAGTAGTCCAGTGGTCAGTGCACTGGTCTCCGAGTCGGACGACTCAGGTTCTAGTCCTGGCCGTGGCAAGGCCAGGACTTGTGCCCTTGAGACGTGCGGGAGAAAAAAAATGCGAGCTCCGCTTTTAGGCTTGGCTAGATCTATATATTATTTGTTGTTTTTAATTAAGTTCTAACCAATGAACTTACCCCAGCCCGGGAACTATGGCTGTTTTTTTTTTGTTTTTTTTTTCATTCTTTTTGTCATCTTGCTGTTTTTTTCCATTTGCAAGCGCCGCGATCAATAGGATAATGAATAATGAATAAGCTATTATTAAGATTTCAATGAAGTATACTTAATCATGTCGGAATCTTGAAATACAGTAATTTTCTTATTTTGTTTCAGATTAAAATTACTTGCAACCAGGAAGACTTTGAAAATTTCACAGGAAATAAATGAAAAAAAATTAAATAATGAGGCTCCCTATAGTGCTTAGCAAACTTTCAAACAAACATTGTAATATTGGCCAAGAGTCATTAATGGCTGCCGGGATCGATGTGAATAAAACATAAATACAAGACCCACAAAAAAAAAGAAAGTAGAAAATTAATAAAGATGTGCTAGAAGATTCAATGATTATCCTCAATTCTGGCCTTTTTTTCTGACCTTTACACGCATGTTGCACTGCAAATATCATCCATCCTCAATCACAGATTTTCTATTTATTTCTCTCCGGAATGTTTTATCCTGTCGAACTAGTATTCTAAGACTGCCCTACATTCAGGGAACCTGTCGCCACAAAAAATTATGTATGATAAAATTATGATCATGAAAGAAATCACAGGCAGATGTAGAAAGACTGGAAATGGGAATGATCCTAATCTATGAACTGGAGATGGTTAACTGCTGAAATGATCAGGTCAAGTATAAGTTGTAGTCCGTTTGCTGAAAAATAGAGAAATTAAATCATTAGAAACGGCAAGGACTCAAGTGTTTCTTCGCTCTCATTTTGGCAATTTTATGTAGGAAATGCAGTATGCACCACACTGTCCATAGGCCAACTTTAAAACAAAAATTCAGTTTAATATGTTCATGCTGGGAGTTTTTTCTTATGGATTTTAAATGAAAATGAAGGGAAAAGCTTATTGGACCAACGAAAACCGCACTCAGTACACGGCGGTTTAAGAAAGGAAAATTTAATAAAGCTAACAGTTGAGAGTTCTGAAAACAAAGAAAAAATTCGCTTCAAAGTTCACGAGGTCGAGCTGGCCGCCAGTCCAATCGTTTGCCTCCATTACCGTTTCCGTTAGACAATAAGAATTTATGTTGAGCTATAACATAGCGTAGCCAATTTTACTGCGGAAATTTACCTACTTTATTTTTATTTAATGTTCTAATTATTTGGTAAGCGATCATTCGACATGTTAGCAAATCACGTGTATTTTTTACGAGAAAGCATTTTTGAAACGATGGAAGGGAATGATGTTTTTCAAAGCCGTGCCGTCAAATCGGTGGAAAAAAATGTTGAAGACACTTCCCAGAGTAATTTAGCTAGACGGGAACAGCTATTAGTGTTTTTCAATATAGCAGTCATCCTGTGAATTAGCACTACAATACGAAAAGTAAACCTAAAAAGTTGAAATCCAGCTGTGACTCTTTAAGCTGGCGATATTAATTGCAAAACAATGCAGTAGGAGGTCATGCAAATGTTGTATTGATGGGGTTATTGGCTTTGAACGTTATAACCAACCACGCAAGCCATCGACGCTTATCGACTTGCAATTAACTTCTTTGTAACATCTATTCGTAAACGGAGTTTTGTTCAATGCCACAAAAGTTGCTTGAAGGAAACCTTTGATTTCTAGACAATCTGGTCTTCCAAACGACCCAGACATCGGCCAGCAATGCTTAGAACACTATTTCTAGATTTGGTTATGTTTATAATGGTTGCTTACTTTCAGAACATTCCCGTTAGCGGATCTGCCGCTGTCGCGCCACCAGAATTCCTTACAATAGGCTAGTGATGAATTTTATGTGTTTTTAGAGTAAATATGAGGAAAATTTCTTTCTTCGCAAAACTGAACTTCTTTTATTTGTTTCAACAGGTGCTGTGTTTTCCGATAGCCCTCGAGTCGACTATGAGGACGCCTTTAGACTCGCTATCGACACAATAAACAGTAACAACTCAATATTACCAAGTACGAAGCTCAGAGTAATTGTCAACAAGACAGCAACACTGAATGCTTTCAAAAACATCGAGATGGGTAAGTTATAAATCGCGATGCGGGAACTTCGTGTGAAAGTCAGCATCAATTTTCGTAATCCTAGCATCAAGTTTGCTAAGGATGATGTCTTTTTGCTGTTTCACCTGGCAGTCATATTAAATAAGATGAGACCATGCTGCTACTAAACAATCCTTTAACATGTGGAAATGAAGGTCAAAAATCAAATATGATAAACTACTGATAATACAAGTTGTTTAATCCTTATTATTAAGGGTCACAAGCATTTTGTAAATGTAGTTTGGGTATGCGTTTATTTTTTTCGTGACCGATTCGGTCGAAGCTCTGTTTGCATCGTCACTTTTTTAAGTAGCGATAAACTGTTCCAATTTTACCCCCTGTGTTTTGCAATATCCCCTAGCTTGCAGATTTGCATTTTCGTTCATTTAATATTTTGAGGACTGTTGTGGGAGACGTTATAAAGATAGTTGTCAGTTATCTTTAAAAAGGAACTGTCTGGTTACTTCCGTGATTTATTCTTTTATGATGGTGTTGATTACAGTTCGACCTTTTGTTAATACCAGGTTCCATGGCGGGAGATGAAAGGAGCTCACAATATTTTAAAGTTGGACGCAAACGAAAATGAAAATGGAAGAAAAAAAAGGAACTGTACATGCTGGCTTACTAAGCCATACAAAAGTTGTAAGGGAAATCAGGTCATGTTGATTTAGAGGCTAAAATCGCAGTTCTGTTCCAGCTTTTGATCAGGAAGCACAGGTCTTTCTCAGTTATGGTTTTTATTCTTTTATTTTATCTATTTTTTTTAAATATAACAGTGCAATATCTCATCAAGAAAGGAGTGGTTGCCATAGTTGGACCAATGACTTCTACTGGGGTAAAATTTACACAGCCTTACTGCGCTGGTTTTCACATTCCACAGCTTGCACCAGTGGCAACTGACCCAACATTTTCATTTACATCAGCAAACTTTCCATTCCTTGTTCGCCTCAGTCCGAGCGATACGATTCAGTGCCAGGCCTTGGCAGGCCTAATTTCATATTATAACTGGTCTCAAATATCTCTTTTGACATCAAAGGATGATTACGGTTTGTAGATTTTTTGTTTTTGTTTTTGTTTTTTGTTTTGTTTTGTTTTTTCTTTTTAATTGACGTTTGGTTATTGCTTGTTTGCTTTATTCTTTGTCCAGTCTTTTTCTGTTTTTTCTCTTTATTTTTTTCTATCATCCGTTGCACC